TGGCGGGGGAAGCCCTGCCATCAGCCCTGGTGAAAGACCTGCTCTGAGCCCGGCTGTGCCCAGCTCTGTCCTGCCAGCGCGCCGCAGGACAAACCCAAACACAACATTCCTCTCACCCACTTACCCAGCGGGTCCCCAGGTGTTCTGTAGATGAAGTGACGTGAACATGTAAGACCAGCCCTGCATCCTGCTCTGGTTTGGCTCCTGCAGCTCTGAGCCTGGTCTTTGCACTTGCAAGAACAAGAACAAAACCAGACCCCAAGTGCCTGAGATCTGCCCAGGGTGCAGCCCAGGGTAGTCTCTCCTGCTGTTTCCTCCCTGGGCCCTTGGCCTTGGTTTTTCCATCCTGGTGCTCTGATGGCCAAGTAGCCACTTGGTTATCTTAAAACTGTGCCTGGCAGGGCAGGCTAGGGGCCAGGAGGCCCTGAGGGGCATCTACCTTCAGTGCTGGCTCCTGCAGCCCCCACAACCACATCCTCTCCTGCTGGGGAGCAGGACTGTGTCACACAGCTACCTCACTTGGGATTATGAAGCACCTCCCTATAGCTCTCAGGGACTGCTCTCTGTGCCAGCTGTGCTACCCCTCCATTTGAATGAAACCCACCACTGCTGTGTGTTTAGAGCAAGGATTGGGGGTTACAATAATCCTGGAGTGACTAATGGCAGTCCCACGTTGTGATCTCCAGGCAGGGAATGACAAATCTGTGGCTGAGCAACATCCTGGAGACGGCGCTGTGGCACAGGTGTCGCTGGCACAGGAACAACAGGGCAGCAGCTGCCAGGGCAACAGCATCCTGCAGGATTGAGTCGGCCCTGGAGGTCAGTGTGGGCAGCACACCCACGGGGAGGGGCTGGGACAAAGGGACCGAGAAGCCATGCCAAGGACCTGATGCAAAGCCACCCCTACAAGAGCCCCCCCAGCAGCTCCTCTGACCCATCCCAGGCATTCTGTCACACGAGGGGATCCCGTGGTGTCCGTGCTGACCAAGTCACCGTGTTCCAGAAGTTGTCCATTTCTAAAGTAAATCCATTCATGCAAAACTGGCGTTTGGCTCAGTTCAGCTCTGTGTTGGCAGCCACGCTCTGGGATGGATGGGAACAGGGATGGGGACAGGGATGGGGACAGGGATGGGGCATTGCTGCCATGGCAGCTGCAGAGAGTGGCCGGGGCTGGAGCCTGGAAGGGCTTGGGACCACATGCGAATGATCACAGGGATAGGGCACGGGGCAAAGAAACCTCCCCCTGCCCGTCAGCCGAGCCGTCCTCCCGCCAAGGGACGCAGCGACGGCGTGTCCGGCAGCAGCAGGACCTGCTGCACCCCCGGGCTGGGCTGTGCCCTCGGGCTGCCCCTCGGCCATCCCCGGCTGTGTCTGCTGCCGCCTACCGAGAGGAGCCTCCAGAGAAGGATCGAGGGCTGATTTCCCACCGCAGGAAACGAGCACGAAGGGCTGCTGCCACCTCCTGGGGCTCTCGCGGCGTGGCCACCCGGGAGGGACAGGGACCAAAGACTGACCCAGCCAGGCCGGGGACTGTGCTGGACTCAGGGACATGGCGGGTCCAGCCACCTCCACTGGCTAAAAATACTGGGGTTCAGAGACCACCTAAAGCAGATAGGGAACAAAAAAAAAAAATATCCTTAAATCCTCTCAGGTCCTTTATTACTACCGGAAACCCCCAGAGCAGTGTCTGCATGTTCAGCTCGCTGTGAGAACAGTGCCCAACACTGAGAGCACTAATGATGGAAGCGCTTTAATCTCCATGCCCGGACACTCCTGCTGCCGGAAAGGGCAGAGGCGCTGCAGCCACCCAGCAAACCCCAACCAGTTTTATGAGCTCCCCGCGCTGTGGTCGGGCCGAGCAGCAGGTCCGAGTACTCCTCTGTGCCGGACTGGACACAACCCCCGGGGCGGGGCACAGCTGTGGGTGTTTAACCAGCCGGGAATGGGGCCGACAGGTGACACCAATTACTTACCTGAGGACTAGAGACAAGCCCCTCCCTGCCGGGGCAGCGCCTGTGGTGGCTGGTGGGGGGGTTGAGCCTGCAAGGAGGATGGAGGCTTCACCCTTGAGGCTGAGGTAGGATCTGCACCAGCTGCTGGGTCGGGTAGGGTTTGGGAGGGGTTTTCCTGGTTGTGAGAACCAATTTCTTTGGATTTGGTGCTGCTGAAGTGGGTGGGAAGGGGTCTGGAGGTTGCACTGTTGTGTTGCTGCTTGGTGAGAGCCTGGTGCTGGTGCAAGGAAGGAGCCAGGGCTGCCTTGGGGTGGGTTTGGTGTGTGGGGGCTGTGCTACAGGCGCCGTTTCCCACTCACTTGGGGGTCTGAGGGCACAGCAACACACTCCAAAGTGGCAGGAAAACAGTGTGTCCTAGAAAGGAAAAAAGGGGAGTAAGGTGACAGACAAGGAAAGTCAGCAAAACTATAAATGAATGTGAAAATCAGTGCTTGACAGCAGCTGAAATTTCTTCCAGTGGTTCCAAACCATGGACATTAATGTGTAGTTTGAGGGAAACTGAAGCCTTGACTCTAAGTTGTGTAAATGTAGTGATATTTTAATGTAGTTGCTTTTTAAAAAACTTCTCTCCCCCTCCCCCCCCATTCCTCCAGCTTCTTTGCCTCAGATGATTTAATTCCTTCTGGCTGGGGTGGTTAATTAAATGTATAAACCCCTCCAGCTGGGGCTTTTGTCTGTCACCTTGATGTTGTCCAGGGGCAGGGCTGGGGAGAGGACCAACCTCCCCAGCAGCTCCATATTCTGGCAGGGCCCACAAAGCTCATCCATCTCCTTTTCTAATCTGAAGTGGGACCACCTGATGAAGGTCCTATCAGCACAAACCAGAGCTGCCCTCAATAATGCCAGTGACCCCTTGCATCCAGACCCTTCTGTACCTCCAAAACTGGCTGCTGCACAAAGGCAATGGTGCCTGTGGCCCTGTGCTGTCACCCAGTCTTCCTGAAACCTGGGCAGCCTCAGCCTGTGCCACTGATCTTCAAACACAGCCCCACAGGTTGAAACCTCCTCTCAGGTGGGTGACCTCATCTGGGGGGCTGCACAGCCATGGGGGAAAAGGTGAAGAGTGTTTAAGCAGCACAGCTTGGAGCCCTGCTCTGGCTTCCCAAAGGCTGAGCTCCTGAAGAGCAGGTAAGGACTGTTGTTCATGGCAGCTTTAGGGCTGGGCTCAACAGCCCACGGATGCTTTAGTGTTTAAAATAAATGAGCATCTCTTGGTGTGGTTGCGATAAAAACAATGACTTCACCGGAATGAAAGGGAGGCAGGGAGAGCCGGACGGGTTCGCTCGCATTGGGCGGGGGAGTCACGAGCAGCGAGGCAGGGCCCACGGGGAGCTCAGACCTGGGCAGGTGGAACATAAACCAGACCCTGTGGCGATGCCCACTGTGACTGTCCCGCAGCTGTCTCGGGGGGCAGGGTGCCCCCAGCCAGGCTGCTCGGGGGGAGTGTTTGCAGGGGACACACAGGAGTCCATCACAGGCCCTGCTGTGCCTGAGTGAGCCCTGGGAGCTCTCCCTGGCCCCGTGTGGGCCGGCTGTGTGTGGCAGCTGGCACAGGGAAGGGGACCCCTGATGAGGGACATGGAGTAGGGGTAGGCAGGGGCACCCCATCCTTGCCTGGCACAGGGGCTGCTGTCAGTCTGGCCAGTCTGATGTGGCTTTAGCAGCCTCCAAAATCAAGCTGGGTGGCTCTGCAAAAAGGACATCTGGGCTAGTGAGGAAACTGAGGCACAGAGCAGGCCTGCGAGCTGGCAGGGACCACATAGCAGAGTGAGTTTGCTGTCCTCTGGAGCAGTGGAGTGAGACCTGTTGGTTTGGAGAATGGGATGGGCTGGATGAGGTGGAAGAATACCTTCTGTGAGCTGGTGGAAGCTGAGCTCCGGGTTCCCCTGCCCCTTCCAGGCATAGCTCCCGGGCCAGGAGGACCAGCCAGAGCTCACAGTCCAGCAGCACCCCAGGGCTCTGCAGTCACCAATGTCTGTGTTCAACTTTGGGGGGTTCTGTAGTTTAGAGCATTAAAAAAATCAAGTTTACTCTTGCACAGATTTGCAGATGAAACAAAGTTAGGATGGGGCTGTTACTGCTTGTACAAAGAGGATTAGAGTTTTATATTGGTCTGATAAATAGGAAATTATCTAAAGTAACTGCCAAGTAAGTCAGCAGAGACAGATAATTTTTCTTTTCTAAGCATATTAAGTGAAGAACTCCAACCTGTGAAACGACTGACAGAAAAGCCAATGTATTGATAAATGAACATGAGAATGGGTCACTTAGGTAAAAACTTCTTTTTGCTCTAGAATAAGGAAGTCAGGCGGCTTTGTTCTCTCAGAATACGCACTTAATGCCAAGTTTTGACAAGTGTAGTATTTTCTCAAATTTTGGAATAGCTGCTTTTAAATTAAAGCATCCAAAATGTTTTCACCTGAGCTGCTCCAGAGCGATTTCCCCAGCTCCAGCAGTTAATTGCTCGATTCCCTGTGGAATGTCCTGAGGATGTCCCGAGGGGCGGGTGCGGTGCCGCCGCCGGCCGCCAGGGGGCAGCAGCGCCCAGCGTACCTGGCGGCAGGTGCGGGGCTGGTCCCGCGGAACCCCCGCGATCCCACCGGGAAAACCACTGGGATCAGCGGGATTTGGGACTGCAGTGTGGCCCAGGCACAGCGCTAAACCCGGTGTAACAGCAGCTCCACCCATGTACCCCTGCCGGTGACAGGAGATGCTTCCAGGAGCCTTCCTCCCAGCTCCTGGGCTTAGGGACTCAAGCTGAGAAACCCACCGGGGCTGGTGCGTAACTAAAGGGTAATTCAGGCCACTGGGGTCTAGAAGGGTGACAAAAAAGCTCGATTTTCACACAGACCCTCCCAAGAAGAAAGCAAGCCCCGAGTGCTTTCATGCCCTGCTCAGCCCCACCAGTGCATGTTCCAGCTCCAGGATGAGGCCCTTTGAATTGGCAGGGAAAGGACCAGCGGGAAAAACTGCTCAGACAACACAGGGTCAGGATTCTAAATACATTTCTTAACTTTTATTCTCCCAGCAGGTAAGCAGTGGTTAAAAAACCTCAGTAGCAAAACCAGACCAAAAAAGTAAGTCTCACACTTTCAGAAACAAACATATGCATTTGCACGTCAGATTTGGGTGCTGAACTACAATTCCCATCCCCACAGTGGATATGCAAATGACCAGGGAGGAATTTGGCAGTGAGAGCAAACTGCTGCATGTGTCACCATGGCAAATGTGCAACAAACATGTGAGTTCAGGTGTTGGCAATGCTGAGCAAACACAGGGCCGTGGAGAACAAATGCAGTGATGCCACAGATTCTGAAACGGTGTAGGCAGAAGAGACAAATCTCCTTAACAAATGGGACAGCTTAAAGGAAGCTGTTTGGCACTTCCCAGACTGAGGCTGCTTCAGCCATGTGCAATATTAACCTTTCTGTACTTGGATTAGGTTTTGTAGACTCTTCTTCCCCGTGTACGTGCTGCTTTTGCTTCCACAAAAGTTTAAAAATTCCACTGGTGAATTCTGGAGTGTTAGGGACACTACATGAATTAGGAAATAGAAAAGCTGCTCTTTTTTTAAGATTTGAAGCCAAAGTGCCAGCAAGGAGTAACTGCCAATTACAGAAACCCAACTGCAACTGGCTTTAGCCAAGGAAAAGAAACTACACTTTCAAACACAGTTCTGCACTGTGTCACAGTACCCACATTCCCCCAAACCATGCTACAATCAGTACTGTGGATTAGATCCCTCAGTATAAAAACAAGAAATCCCATAAAATAGAAATCAAGACTTTCTTAAGTGACAAAACTATGTTTTCAGAGGTGCTTCCTTGTATGTGCAACATCTGCTTTTGTCAAGGTATGCATCTTCTCTGGGTTTGTAATGTGCAAATCCCATAAATCATAGATTTATTCCAGTCAGATTCCCTTACTAGTGCTGAAACAAATTCACAGTATAAACTGTCAAGACTCTTCATGCTGTGAAGGGATATATATATATTTAAAAGGTAAAGTGCAATTTCTTCTGTTTTGCAGAGCCACTCAATGGCTTGGACTGCAGTGTGTGGTCACAGCAGGTTTTGGAATGGGAAAAGCCCTTCCATTAACCAATGTCATCATTTCATGGCAGATGGTTCAGCTTTTCAACAGGCTGCAGGAATTTGCTATGCAGTAAAGTCTGAACGAAGGGTTCTTCCTTCAGGCCATCCAGTGCCCGACAAGTGGGGTTTCCCTCCCTGAACAGTAACAGCAGAGCCGTGGTTTTTACCTAAACACGTAGCACAGGATGCGTCTGAAACCTGAAAATTCATCCCTTGCTTTCCAGCTTGTGTGCAGTTGGACTCTGGATACTGGATCCCCTCTGGAAGGCTCTGACACACCCTCACCGCACTCCTGCCCCGCTCTGCTGCAGCAGCTCTTGCTCGTCATCCTCCGACCCCGAGGGGCCCTGTCGGACCTCTTCATACCACTTGTTTGTCAGGGTTTTCATCTGGATGCGCCCATCGTGCAAGTCCTGAGGCAAAGGCAAACCAGAGCACTTTGTTACTTGGCTACAACACCACTTGTGTGTTAGAGCAAAACAGAAAGACGAGTTGGACGCACTCCTCAGGAAACAATCCGCTCCTGGTCTCCACGCATGCAAAGCAGTTCTGTTTCCTACCAGAAAATATTTATCAAGTGCTCAGTCAGTAATTATTGCCACAGATGATAGTTTTGATGAGGGGTATTTTTACCTGTGTTTTTAGACAGTCCTGCTCTGTGTGTTTCAACAATCCTAATGCTGTCTGGAGGACCTGGCTTTGACTCTCCTCCTTGTGTTCCCAGGCACACTGGGAAGCTTGTGGCCTACTGTGTTGATTCACATGCTTATTTTTCCAGCCTTTGGTTGCCATCTGGATGGCAGCCTGTGCTTTTGGCTACCAACTACAAATCAGATGCTTACTCTGGTTTTCTTGATTCCTTTTTGGTTTTGCGAAAAATGCCTTTAGTTTTTGTGGGAAAGTGCTGAAAGGGTACTTTTGGGAAGAAAGGTACAAAACAAGAGGAAAAATAGTGCTTTTGAGAAGGCTAGGAAGATGAAATGTGCAGACTTTACGTAAAATTATCAAGGCCACAGCCAGAATGCTTAATTCTATGGCAAACTGGAAAATGGGTGAATTATGTAGCTGAGGAGTCTAAGGTTTCTGAGACATGGGAGTGAAAATGACACAGCATTTACACCCCTCAGAGCCACTCAGTGTTAAGTTACACTTAAGTTCAGTCAGGTGTCATCTTGCACTTACAGCCTCAGAGCTCTGGTATCCCAGTGAAGCAGTCTGAAAAGGGAAGGTTGCAATGCTGGTGCATATTTCCAAGAATTTGCACAGCCCCAGAAGTCACAGGACTGTTGACAGTAAGAGGCAGGAACCGTGTGTGACAGCACTTTAAAAACTCTGCCTGAGTGGCAGCAGGTTTTTCTAGCAGCAGCGGTAACCAGTAACTCCTGATACCCTTCATGGTTCTCCTCATGATTAAAGGCAAGCTCAACAAATCCCTACACCGAGTTTAACTGGGGTAGCCCTGAGATGTTCATTTAATCCAACCTGCGCTTTTACAGTGCAGCTGTTCATTACAGCTGCTCTATCTACGCATGAGCAATACACAGATGTCTCACTGTCCCCAGTGCACAAGCTGTGTGGCTGCATGACGAGCCCTGCGCGATGCTGAGGGAAACAACCAACTCTAGTTTCGTTTCTTCAAGAAAATAAGAACGACTTACTTCTTGAGTGAGCCTTCTGGTGAAGAAAGGATTCAAATACTCGACATCAAGCCGCATAAACCCTTTGAGGTTCTGGCGTTTTATGTACTGGGCTTCATACTCCTCCTCTGTGAGCTCTGATAAATGTTCGGATTCTATGGTGTTCCCCTAGAAGAAACACAAATATTGGAATAACCCGAGAGACGTGCCAGTCATCCCTCCAGCCTGCTTCAGTCCTTGCCCAGTGCTCTCCCTTCTCACAACCAGTTCCCATTCTGGAACAATACAGAAATTACCACCCCAGTCTCCCAGGGCTTAGGGCTGTCTGAGTCTGTTCAGCCATCGATTCCCAGAGCCACTCGGCTTCCCTTTCCACGCTGAAAGGGAAAAAGGCCTCAGATGTTCCATGTTTTGTACTGTCACTGTTGCTGAGAACAGGTTTCCAGTGTGCAGGTTTTCTCTTGTGAGCTGGACAATGATTTTATCCAGCAAGCACCACTGATGTCATTGTCCCAGTGCAAACAAGCTGTGTCCAACACAGCCTGTCCCTATGCTTTTCCCGTGCATATCCCCGTGTGGGCAGTGCAAGGTAATTCTGGAGGCTGCAAACAACCTCATGCCACGAGAAAAAATGAGTTCTTAGGATCCTACAGAACAATACTCTGCATATATTGTTCAATGCTTTGGGGAAACACAGGCAAAAAATGCTCTGGGATACATTATTTTCTCCAGCCTTTTGCACAAGATGTTCCAGAAACTGGCTGTTGCTTTTGTCAGTTCTGTTACTTTGCCAGAAATTGCTTTAAAATAAAGTCTAGTCAGAGGGGGGCTGCTGTTACCACCTTCTCATGGCCTTTGCTTCGATTTTTTCAGAATAATTTCCATCTGCCTTTTATGATTAACTCCTGTCTCACACTGTACTAACTACTTTCTCACTGTATATGACTCAATCCTCTATCATCTGCTTTATGGTTTTGCAGGGATTACTTTCATTTGTATGGATCAATTTATAATTGGATTGAGTTAAGAGACTATTTCTCCTCCCTTTGTCCTAAGTTATTTTGTGTAAACATTAACCAAACTCTGTCTTCGGGATATTTTAAAATTACATCACTTGGCCTTGTTCTATCACCTTGGCTTTTTTCATCACTTTCATTTTATTTTCTTGTAAAAAATTATGTACTAGCCCTGAAAAATGTTTAAACTGAGAAGAACAAAAACCAACAAAACACAGTGATCCTCTCAGTAAAGAAGGAGGAACAAACCATCTTCTCTGTCTTGCTCAGATTAACGTCCTTCTTGTTCCTCTTGCGCGGTTTGGAGTCCTCGATGTCCACGAGCCTGATGAGGGGCATGGTGCCCCCTCCCAGCAGCAGGATGGTGAACAGCACGATGATGATGGTCGTGGTCCCGATGAGCTGCCGCTTCTCTATGGGCTCCAGGCCCAGGTGGAGGCTCAGGGCGTAGGGAATGGCACCACGTAAACCTTATCGGAGAGAGCAGCACATCAGTGGAGATCAAACCAACAGCAGCACTGGTCCTGAGCACGCCCAGAACTCACAGGAATTCCCCAGCTTTAAAAGGCTCTTTACAATCCTAGGGTGTGTGTTTATCAGTCACTTGGTTCCCACCCTAAAATGAGCCTGAGAACTTCAGGCACTGCTGTTCAAACTGTGAAGCTGTTGTGCCTAGAGAGACAAGCAGCCTCTTTGCAGAAAAGCTTCAGTGGGCTCACCACTGCATAGTCCTCCAGCACAAAGGGGAGAGAGGACATTTCTGTCCCACTTGGGTTAGAGAACAGCGCAAATGTTCAGTTGAATTCTGCTCAACTAATGGAAAACCAGTTCCTCCTAGAGTGGCCCACACAACGGAAAAGATAAAACATTTTTTTTCTGGTTCTCTATATTTTTAGCTTTAACTTACCACTAAACCACATGATAAACATCATTTTGGGGGTGATTTTATGATCTCGGAAAAAGTTGAGTAGGTAGGAAAGAGGAAAAATATTCACTGCTCTGCCAAACAGAACCAGTACCTGAAAAACAGGAACAAAAGCAAAAGACCATGGGATGTGTCACATGCAGCTGCTTTTACAGGAGCAGGTGAATCTACTCTTTTTGCTCACAGGCAGGTGAGCTGCTCAATGAACACAGAGAACTTTCTCAGCACAGGGCATTGTGGAATTTAACTCTTGAAAAATTTTGTCTGCTTAACTGAAACTAACCCAGACCTGTCACTAATGGAGACCAGGCTGCTTTACTTATAAGAGCTAAATGGAACCCAAGAGGCATTCCAGGGACACCAAGAATTACTTTGGGTAAAAGTTCTCCTCAGTTCAGTCTGCTCAGCTCCTTTAATCATTCCCTTGGCACAGCAGCCAAGAGGAAATATTGTCTATTCTATTGTCTCCCCATGGACCAGTTCCTCAGAGAGAAAAGCCAGAAGCCAAACAAAAAGCACACATGCTGATTTCTCAACACTTTGCTGGGTATGGCTATAAAACACACCACACATTGAAGTGACATTCTGAGAGGGGAAAGGAGAAAAAAAGGTACCATTGTTTTAATGGCAAACTATTAACACAGGGAAAACTTTAACTCAGAAAAAGGTACAGTTTTCTCAATGCATTGTCTCAATGCTACCACAAACAGACCTTGGTAAGGTAAACATCCTAGAATTAGTCAGCAGGATCCTTGAAGGGCTGTGCTGTTTTCCTTTATGAATCACCCCAAATTTACACAATTTGCATTATGCCTGTGGGGGCAATGCTACACAGGAGGAAGTGTCACACCTTAGATACATATTAGATAGGGAAGTTGGGTGTAGTCCAGGGAGAGCAGTTCTCTGTGCTGATATCCCTATCTGTAAGCTGTAGGTAACAATTCTTCCCTTGAACCATGCACTAAAATGGGCCAGTGTATGCTGCTGTAAGCAACTGGAAATGGGTCCCCATTTCGTTCATTTGGCTCTACTTTTCTTGCTGATATTAAACAATTATTATAGAAACAGACGTAGGGAAGCCCCATGTGAAACATAATTAATATGTGAATATGCTACAGTGAAATACAGATTCAAAGAATTAAGATTCTAAAATCTTTTAACTGTAATGTCCCTTCCCCAGTTAGAAATATTGCAAAATGCATCTAAAATGTATGGAAGAAAGTAAATACCTACTATGCACCAGATGACAAAGGACATTTCAAACTTGTGAGGAAAACTAAAAATGGACAGGCCAAGAAATGCAAAAACACATGTTTCTGAAAAAGAGAAATCACACCGTAAATAAACAATTCTAGAAAACCTTTTCTACTCCTATTATAAATTGCTACCTACAGTACATAAAATGGCATTTCCTGACTTTTGAATGCACAAAATAGGCCTAAATGCTGTGATGCAAAAGGCCAGGCTGATGGCAGAGGACAGCACTTAGTGCTGTGTGTAGGCTTTTTTCAGCTGTAAATTACCAAGGAGTAAGAACAAAGCCAGCAAAACCTAATTCTAAAGACTGAGGAACTTTTAACTTGAGCCATATAGGAGCTATATATATACATATATATATTTATATAACTTATATATAAAGCTGCTGACCAGGAGCTACAGAAGTTTCATGGTTATTCATAAATAACTCCTTTACAGTGACTTGACTGAATGCAGGCTTTTTTAGCTTTTGTAATAGATTCAGAGTAAGCCTTGAAGAGCTGCTGCTGCTCAGTTAAGGAGTGGTTAAGTTCAGTTTGCAGCAAACCCATTCCCTGACCACATTCAAAATGCATCCTCCAGCAAACAATATGGAATTCACTCATGGCATCTCCCCAAAACACAGGGATATGTTTGCAATACAGAAACATGTCCTTTCTTCAAAGGTTTGGCTTGTAGGAGGAACTGGAAAGGCTCTGGGACTGAGCTGCTTGTACCACTACTTCCAAAAACTTCTCCATTTGTGAAGCTGTTGTTTTTGCACGTAGATTTTTATATGCAAAACCATTAAAAAAATACTACTCAATCCCCATCTCCTACAGCTAAAAATAGACCATAAGAGTAAATGAGTCAGAGATCTCTATTTGGTCATCAATCTCGTGGCAAATCTTAGCAGGAGCCTGCAGGATGGGAGAGAGAGATTTACTGCATGTTTTATCCAGTGTGGCAGGAAAGGTGACTTTTGAGTGCCTTCCAGCCTCCACTATCAGGAATTCTTCTCTTGAAGACAAGCACCATGGACATAGAAATGCCCAGAAGCAAATTAACACCTCTGCTGCTCCCAAGAGAATTAACATTTCACATGAATAAGATTTGAAACTATTAATAGTAGATATTAATAGCAGGCAGCACCTACCACACATGAAAGCAACAGTTCTCAGTGTCTGCTGCATTAAAATCTGTGTGACTGGGGACAGGTTATGGTGTGTGTAGTGAGACATCACGATGCCAGAGAAGAGGATGGCCATGATACCTGTAGGCAAGAATGTGGCAGTAAACAGAAGAAACCAAAACTAAAATCACAACCCAAGATTAAAAAAACAAACCAAGCAGAATCCCTAGCTATTAGAATTACACTAACTGTGGTATCCCTTCCCTCCTTCCTCTGGGAAATAAGACAGGAAGATCATTGCCTTAAAATCCCCACTTAAAAGGTCAGAGACATTGGGCATCCAGCAGAAATAGAGCTGGTCTTTGTACTTGCTCCTACAGAATGCTGGGAGGAGTTCACCTCTTCTCCTGGCCTTCAGCAAAGCCTCTACCAAGTATTCACAGACACACACAACACTCTGGTCTCAGCTGACTTCCCCAATGTCACTGAGGACAGGCAGAAAACCACCCCAGGGCAGCAGGCTGGGCATGACCTAAGTTTGCTGAGGTGGCTGAGATCTGCAGCATGCACCTGAAACTTTAATTCTGTGTTGGGCAAAGGTAGCTGGGGACAATACCAGTATTTACAGTGGCTAACAAATGCTGATGAAAGCTGCAATTACCTTTTTTATCTTCTGTAATATGAAGTAGAAAATAGCGTTTCTCTAAAGTAAGTCAAACTTAAAAGTAAGAACAGATTAAATGACAAAACACCCAAAAAAACACCAGGGGCCCTCTGAGACACAAATAATTCCTACTCCCTATCAAAGAAACTTGCACAGACTCATTTTGCTACTCACCTGAGAGAGAGATCCCTTCTGCAAGTCCATAAGGAAGGTAAGCAAAGATAATCATCATCCCAAACTCTAGGGAGGGTGTCTTCCTTAAATCAATGTGCTTTAGCACGTACACAGGGAAATGTTATGGAAAAATGTAAATTAAAACGCACAAAAAATCAAAGAAATATTTTCATCTGTGTCATTCCATTAAAAAACAACGATTATGCTTTATGTACTTCTCTACTGAATAGCCAATAAGATCTACACATTGGCCTTCAACTCCAGTATGGAAGGACAAGTAATTCCTTATGAGGAAAGTTTGATATAGAAGCTACTGCTGGTAGAAGTCTGTCAGAAGGGACAGAGATGGAGACAAAAAAGATCTGCTACTGATGTGCCTCTACAATACCAATAATAACAGGTATATCAAATACTTTGAGACACAAATTACAGTAAAATGGTAAATAAGCTGCTTTTCTTGAACTTCTGTCTCCCTCTTTTGTGGTGATGTATGGAATAACTTAAAAGTTTGTTGAATCAGGCTGCTGAACCAAGAAGGAAAAAACCCCGTTTAATCAAACATTCAGCTCTTGTTGTTTACAAAGTGCTTGCCAGTGTGTCCCAGCTGACACGAACAACTGTTGTACAAGCCCAGATCACCTGCAGTGATGAACAGTTAAGCCCTGAGAAGTAACAAAGGTGTCTGGACTACAGCAAACAGCCTTCCTGATCTCAGCAGAGAAGCTTCTGGGTTGTTTAGCAACCAATTCATGGAAGTGGAAGAGGCAAAATATAACCCAGTGTAAATCCAAACAGAACAGTGTCTGCATTCAGCTGCCTGCACATGATCCATAGGGACAAATGAGCTGGGCTGACTCAAAGGCCCTCGGGAAAAGGAGCTTTTTTTTTCTTTTTAATTAACTGTTTTATGCATGTAAAAAAAAGGAGCCATATGCTTGTAAAAATGGATTGGTATTGAAATGGAATTAATATATTTTGAATTTACAAAACAATTACCATATCTTATAACACTCCAATGCACAAAAGCTATTATACAGCATTTCAGACCTTAATTATGTTCATAAAAATTTGATGTGACTTTTTAATACACATTCATGCACACTAACATAAAAACAAAATGAGCATGACAAATTCCTCAGCCAACAAAATAATGCCTCATAAGAAATATCCCCTAAGAAATGCTGCAGAAGACAGGAAAGAAAAATACTATTAGAATGTTGAAGTTCACCAATTTATACATAAGTATCACCAAAATGAAAAAAGGATATTAATGCAGAAATAAGACCAGTAAGTGTGCCAAGCGCTGCAGAGCCAAAGAACATTTTAAGAAAGTATCCCAGTGCCTGTAGAAAGGTTTGCCATCCACTTACATCTGACATATTTTCCCTTGTCAAACCTTCTGCTGTGCTAGATACAATTAAAAGAGAAATAAAAAGAAATGGTTATACATTCCAAGCCTGGATCCAAAAATATCAAACATCTTTTGAGCACAACAACAAAAAAGACTCCCATTTCTTAAAAGGCTTTTACTGTGATATATATAACAAGAGGAATGTCAAAAGACGTTACATCAAGCCTCAGTGTAATCCCCAAAGGGAAACCTAATTCTGCTAAAAATCCAGCAGTGCTCCTCTGAAGAATCCCAGAATGGCGTAAATAGGCTATGGTGATGCCCAGTATTTCAAAACAATGTTCCAAGTTTGAAAAGGGAAAGAAAACACATTTTACAGAGGTAAAAACTCATGTGATCCTCCAAGAAGAACCAATGAACAGGAAGAACTCTCATCAAATATTTAGGTGTGGATGAGAGACAAGAAGGTCAAAGAAGGAAAACAAGGCAGCCCTCAGGAGGAAAGAGGAGAAACCTCTTTGAATTTCAGGAATGTATTTCATGGAAATTCTGTGCAAAGAATGCTCAGATTCCAACCAGTGTTCCTTTTGGCTGCTGTTAACCTTCAGGGCCTTCCATAAAAGCACCACAACTGTAGTAAAAACAGATAGCTCATTGGCAAATGACTCTGACTTCACTACCTGCCTGGTAAATCTGCTACTTCTATACAATCACAGTCACATCTGTTCACTTTAGCAATAACACAAAGATTTATCTATCCATTTTCACTCTTTCAGCCCCAAAGAATTATCATGGGCAAAAGGGAAGGATACTGGATGTCCTTCTTTCCTGTGACAGCCCCAACATAAATATGCAATCATTGCATGGATGTTGATGTATCCCCCCCCAGCTGCAGTGGGACTCTGGGCATAGGCCAGTGACAGAGACACAGCAGCATATTTGGCAAGGGGAACATTTCTGTGCAAGCCTGAAGGGTGACGTGTTGGTTTGCTGTTGTCAGGAAAGCAGACAGAAAGAGAGCTGATAAATGAATGGAATTAGATACAATCAGTTATCCGGGATCAGTGAGATAAGGCAGTGGTAACAAGGCAGCCGTTAACTGTCTTCTGCCTATGCAGCTCATGCTTTTAACAAAGAAGGACCACAGGAAATTCCTTTTTACACCAGAAATATGTGATTTGTTCTAAATGGAGATGGCAGAATTACTGTATGTCTGAATAACTAACTAACAGAAAACAAAGTGGTTGCTGTTCCCATACACATGTGTAGTCCCAGGGCACTCACTTGGTCAGGACAATCGAGACTGCATCATTGAGAATGCTTTCTCCAAAAACCAACATGTTAAGCACAGGATCCACATTGAGGGCATTGAAAATGGCAATAGTAGCCACAGGGTCAACTGCAGATATTAAAGAGCCGAATGCAAAACTGGGAGAACACAAAACAAAAGAGAAAACTAGATGAAAGAAAAATACATACCTAGTAAGTTATATGAACAACATGTAACAAAGACCTTTTGTGTTACAGTGTCTACACAGTGGTAAGTTACGCTCTCTTTCCATTCCTGAGAACTTGATCCTTTGCCAAGTTCTTGAAAAAAATCGATGTTGATACTGAAAACTTATTCTGTCTTTTAAGAGAAGATTTGGACAAGGAAGTTATGCCCTTATATTTATTATTAATAGCAACTAATCAAAGTTTACAAATCTTAACTTTAAAGTTTGGTTAAAATACCCAGTATCTGTCTAGAAAAATCACTGAGCATAGAATAGAACAGAATGCAGTACAGTACAATTTGGAAATAAGGGTGTAATAAATAGGGTACAGAAGTCTTTGATCTATTTATTGGTTTCATATACAATGTTGAACCTCAGCAACCTAAACACTAACCAGAAGTTGGCCAACTGCAGTGCATTTCCCATCTACAGTTATATGCAAGAAAGCTTCATTTTCACCAAGAGCTTACCTGTCTGTCATGTTGAGTTTATAAATTACATCAGCCTGAAAGAATAGGTAAAACATAAAAATCACAATCAACTGTGGTTTTCTGCTGTTCTTAAAAATGAAACTATTCATCAAATCCCAAGTTCATTATCAAGAAAAAAAAAATCACAGTAGTCATGTTATTCAGTTTAACACTGCCCTCCAACAGTGATTTACTGCTACAATTCTGGTCAACCAAGATCAGAGAAGATCAGATGGAACTGGACCAGATTCAGGTGAGTAGAATAACTATGGCCTTCAAAGGAATAGAAATCTGAGGGGCAAACAGGGAAAGTATGGAATGCTTGGCCTACCAGAATGAAGTCTGAGAGAAAAGATAAATATTTGTGTCTATATGTAATCAATGGGAAACACCAAACCACAGAATCAAAAAAAAAAACAAAACCAGAGAAGAACAAGTAAGTTTAATATTGGAAAGCAGAAGATGGCTCTACAGAATACAGGTTTTGGAATAGCCCTGTGATAGGAAGGTTGTGTAAGTTAAAAAACGTAATTGCTTTCAACATGGAGCATGCTGTGTCACAGAATCACAGAGAGGTTCAGGTTGGAAGGGACCCCTGGAGGTCACCTGGCCCACCCTCCCTGCTCTGCAGGGTCCCCTGGAATACATTACTTAGCACTGTCCAGACAGCCTTTGAGTATTTCCAGGGAAGAAGACTCCACAGCCTCCCCAGCAATATCCATGGAAAGGGTTGTATAACATTGCCTTTGTGAGAGCAGACACCTGGACTTTGTGACTCAGGAGTTCACTTTCACTATGTTTGTTTGCTCTTGAAAAATGGACTTTCAAATAACAAGGCAGATATACTGAAGTGCTTCAAAGCAGTAAGGCTTACCCGGCCCAGGAAATAGATTCCTCCACCTACAATGAAAGCTGATATTGCAGTGCCAAATACAGAGAACAGAATGATGGAACCAATGTTCTGAAAAAAATTACCCTGGAACATAAGAACAAGTAAATTAGTGAAAATTACCCGAGGGAAATCTCATGTTTGGGTTTGCATCTAAATTAGATTCTGATTCACAACTGGGTTTCCAATAATAGCCCCCTTGGCCAGGACTACTGTTGTGAGACATGTCCATGGAAACACAGGTTCCCAGGCAAGGGGTGAGAACCCTTGGAAACCTTTTCTTCTTCTTTATCTGTGGAATGACGTCACCTTCCCCACTTCTGATCCTACTCCTTCCCGGTCTGCCTCCTTCACAGTAGCCCTTTTACAGCTCTGATGAGGTAAGAAACCTCTCCAGCCAAGGAAAAGCACACACCCAACACCTTGCCAGCAGACAGTTATCAGCAACAACCAATGTTCCCTGCACTCTGGATTGAAGAGGATTAAATTTTGCACTCTCAATTTCCTAATGGTTAATATAATGGAATTTAATGCAATTATCCTAAACTTCATGAAGATAACTAAAAGCAGAATGTGTTCTAAACAAAACCTCAGCATGCAAAATGAGTTTCTGGCAGGGGCTGACCTTGTGCAGTGAATATCCAGATTCAAATATAATAGGTGGAAGCAAAAGCAGAAAAAACATATTTGGACGAAACATTTCTTCTTCCTGCAAAACAAAAATTAATCATAATTTCAACAATATCATCATCATTACTGAAATAACACCAAATCTTCCAAAAGGTAAATTATTAAAAAATTCTGTTGGAAAATGAAAATGGCATTAATCTTTCTCCCTTCCCATCACAAAGTAAAAGACTGAAGAACAGTAAGCTATTCCAGGGCTGCTACTTCTATTGTTGTTCTTTTTCAACCCAGTGACAGAAATCTAGGAGTTCCTTATTTTAAATTACTGCCTCCAAATAAGCTGCAGAGAAAACAGGTTATTTATGGCAAAGTCTTTCTGTTTCAACGAAAAGTATTCCCATTTTATCTCACAGCCTGAAATCTGTACGGACTGCTAAGGAACGGTGACTTCTTGGCCACTGTTTGAAGAGAACAGGTTAAGGGGGACCAAGGAAAGCTCATCACACCATCACCTCAGTGCACCTGCAGGAGACCAGGCTCCCACCACTGGGAGGAGTCTGAGGCTGGACTCTTCTCAGCAAATACAACTTCTGTCTGAAATTCAATGGTATTATTCTTGATGGTTCCTTTTTGCCGTCACAGGGATATAAATAGCACCCAGGATGAGGTAAGATGCTATTTTCTGGTGCCCTCACTCTTTTGTCACCTATTTCATCCCTTGGCTAATGCTGCTCATGGAGCTGTACCCCCAGCCTGGCATCCTGTTTTTTCTGCAGGCAGACTAAGCAAAGAAGGAAAATTATTCCCAGCTGAGTGGGCCTCTCTACCCACCTGTTTTCTCCCTCCTGGCCCCCCAGCAGAGCTTGTCACCTTTGCAAGCACCGATTAACTTGTTTAAATCCAGGTTAAACAGCTGATGGAATGTTCTGTTCAAACCCTAGCTTTCAAAACAGAGGTCCTCATCTCTTTAAAGACTTGTTCTTGCCTGTACCACAGATAATCATCTTAAAGGATTTGGGGGGCTTAGAAAACAAAACTCATCCTTTAGACTGAGATGCTCTAGTCCAGGATTCTGCACGCACAGCTCCGTGCATCGATGGCTGACACTGCCTGGTTCTGTCAGCACAGTAACTGCACTGGGACAAACTCCCACCTCTCTGAGCAACTACACTGGTTAAGACCCCTGAAACCAGAGCTGGACAAGGAGGCAAGAACAATGGAAAGGAAGGACTGCATTTGTGCTGCATGGGAGCAGAGACCAGGAAAGTACAACATGAGGACTGTGATTATCAGCCGTGGTAGCCAAGAGCCACCAGCAAACACAAGGTCTTAGTGGGGAACTTGAGGGAACACTGAGTGAGGCAAATCACTAGAAACTACATTACAAAGTTCCTAGGGCAGGGATATCATCCAAGTTTTGCCTTGTACAAGGACATAGGCAGCAGTTAAATATTCTATTTTTTCCATGTCTGATAAACAAAAAGTATCTAGTAAATTTATAGCCATTTAATAAAGTTCATAATTATTATTGATTAGAACATTTCACATCTGAAATTATGGCAGCCTCTGTTAAAACCTAAACTTTATTACGGTGAAATTAATCTAAATAAGCAAATAGTAATGTGATACATGTGACCTTTTACCTCGGCTGACAATGTGAGCAAACCAGACACAGCTCCTCATTTCCCACCAAGACATGACCAACACTTCCCAGAAAACCACCATGTAATTCATCAGCTGGGATCAATATTTACCATGTTAACAGAACGAGTGCTCAAATCAGAGCCACACTTCAAGCTTTCTTCTTTTTTCCTACATACATGATCTCAGTCAGGTTATTTTATTTAACAAATAAGAAAGTATTTTAAAATGCTGATTTTGTGGCTGTTTAACTGACAGTTCATTTGCTTTGACAGTGTGGATAAAATGTAGGAGGTAAAATCCTTGTTTCACTGTAGACTTCACCTCTTGGAGACACTTCTGCCAAGATTCTCCCTAGTCTTTTTTAAACATTTAGGGATTGTTCTACAATTAAAAATTAACTGTTTCAAATATACCTTCCAGTTGGCCAGCTTTTGAGCCTCTATGATTTTTATAAAAGCTCCCATGAGGATACCTAGGAGACAATGAGAAAACATTCAGAAATAGCCACAAAACACATCACGGTTTATCAGCTCTCCAGGTTTTAAAAGTACAAACAAGGCAAACCATAAAGCAGCAAGTCTTTAATTCCTAAATCACAAAAACACGAGGCAGTTTTGGTTTCCATATCCAAATAGCCAGTTTTCAATACATTACATAATTCCAGATTTTTCCTGACACAACAGATTGTCTCTTGGGATATCCCAACCTGAGCACTCACACTGAGAGTGTGATGCTTACTGATGCAGAAAGACAACAGGCTTAACTACTCAAAACCTCTTCTCATCTAAGCTGCATTCAAATAAAATTCCACCCTTCTCGCTGAAGAATCAGGAAGTTATGAGTTAGACATCTGTGCTTCACGTCACTTCAATGCTATTTGCAGTGTTAAAGCAGCTTAAATGACATCAGTCCTCTCCAAAGAAGTGAATTCTGTTTGAATGAAATCATAGCACTTTCTGGCAACAAATTCTGATCAGGGCGGAAACACTGTCAGAACTATTTCCCAAATGAATTACACATCTTTTAAGTCATGCAGAAATACTAATTTGAGTATAAAAGGATTTTATCAAGGCTGTTGCAAACTCAATGGTTAAAGGTTATCATGCTTTTTCCTCCTATACATCTTCAAACATGTAAGACATAAGATAAAGATTTCTTCTGGAAGTCAGGAATATAACTCATAAAGTGTCATTAAAATGTTTTCAAGTAGTTATGAGGAATTTGTCTTTAGTCAGATTCCAGATCTGTGTTTCTGCACAGCTGTTGTTTTATTATTTACAGAATGGAGACTTCACAGTCAAACACTGTGATGTAGAAGAGAAATACACCAAACGAAAGGTAAAAAGTGGCTGAGAAGCTCTAAGTACACTTTCCTTTATGCTCTCATGCTGCAGCTAACAAAAGAGTCTTACAAATAGAATCACATGGATTACTCCTGATGGATGTGTCACACACACAAAGCCATGAGGTCCAAGCCTTCTTTCATACAAAGATCTGTGAAGGCATCAGTCCCTGAGGATAGAAATAACTGTTCCATGAAATTGTTTATATGGAAAGGAAGCACAAAGCATTAATGAAGGAACGTCAGAGGTCTGCTGTTCCTTGAAGGACAGAACGCAGATACAGCCACTCACACACCACACAAACACGGGTCTCAGGACTCAGTTAGGCCTCTCAGCCTGGGGTGGCAGCTGGGCCAGAAGCCAAGGCCTGGAACATTGCTAATTTCTGCAGAGCAACAACACTGTCTTCAGCTGGTACAGGCAGTACTTGTATCACTTAACAAAAAGTCTGTGTGGGGAGAAACCAAATGACAAGACCCAGAGCCCATACACCTGAGGGCACGGATGTCAGGAAGGGGCTGCTGCCTGAACTAACACTCACTGTGGTGAGATTCAGTACTGAGAGCCCTCACATAGGTTTAGATGGGATTTAAAAGAGAATCCCCTGACTCACTTTTTCTGAAGTGGAAGGGCTCCAGCATGACTCTGGGTAACTGGAGCCCTGAGTAGGCCACCCATGGCCTGAGGGCCTAAGGCTGAACATCCCTATCCTGAGGCCGAGGCTTAAGTTAAAGGTTGGCTCAGTCTGTTCTTTCAAGGAAGAGCTAATCACAAGATGACTCCAGCAGCATCACAGACAAAAAAGGTCCTTGCAAGATATCAAAAGTTAAACAACAATATCAGTGAAAGGCAACAGCAGAGTTAAGGGGAAAGGATGGGCCTGAATACAACCTACACCTTTACACAGCAGAAGTGACCTCTACCTGCATATTACACACAGCAGTACTAAGATTATGCCAAGCAAAGTCATGAGAGACCTGCACAAAATAATGCATCAGCAACAGGGTTCAACAGCAGCAGAATCAAACTTTGATGCTGATTTTTAAAACCTGTCCCATACATCTTTACTCTTCTTTTATTAATAGATGAATGAACACAGTTTTTGATCAGCTGGTTCTATTAAATCAGGCAGATCAGTTTTGTCAAGGGACTAATTGGAAAGTTAAGTCTGTAAGAGTTAATCTAAGCCCCATTCTTTTGAAAATTTTATAGGAATTTTCTTATTATAACCAACCTTTATTTTTCCTGAGAACACGTTAAAACTCAGTAACAAATCAAAGAGAAAAAACTTTTCTGGCAACTATTTTTACCAATGAAATTCCATCAACTTTTAAGGATGAAGATAAAATCCAGTCTCAGAAAATGTGTTCCTGCCCTCTCCACCAGGAGTCACACACCCTAGAAACCATAAACCAGAAACTTCCAAGAAGCTTAGACAATGGGAGGAAAAGCATTTGTGAAAATCATACCTATCTTCTCTGCTGCCACTTTTATTAGCCTTCAATAACTTCCTGAGAACATCTGCGTAATTCACAAACCAAAGTAGGACACACCTCACTTCTGGCACTGCTCACAAAACTGGATACTTGAAACTCAAGCTGTGCTCTTGCAGCTGTGCAGAGCATTGCCAGTCCCAGGGGGACACTGAGCAGCAATGAGCTGCAAATTCCAGTGATTATCCCGATGCCGTGTCCTGTCACCAGTTTGACTGAGTCTGTAAACTAAATAAGGCTGAAACGACCCAGGACATCTGGGCTGCTACTGGGTATAACACCCTGCTGACTTCCAGGAACTGCATGTGCTGGTATCATCTTGCCTGGCTGGGGGACACGCTGCAGCCCTGCTTTGGTTCACCCCAAAACCCACCCGGGCAAGTTCCTGCACGGCCTCTATGTGAGACCACAGGAGGTGCAGCTGCTGACTCAGTCTGAGCAGCAGCAACAACCGCGGTGAGAAACCTCCCTGTTTCATAAACAAGCTTTTGTTGGGACTGACAGGAGCACAGGACACACCAGCACTTAAATCCGACAGCTAAAATCCTTCTCCTGCTTCTGAGATGCCAAGAAAGAGAAAGAGAAAGAGGAGAATGTCTGTGCCTCTGCTGCCCTACACAGCTCAGCAGGAGCAGGGACACGAACTGGCCCAACACCTCCACTCTGCACTGTCCTGGACGTGGCTTGTGGCAGGATATAGCCAAGAAAATCCAAAACTATGCCAGTAGGAGCAATCAATACACTGCTGAATTTAATACTGGGGATTATGCTTAAATTTAGATTAGCTATTTAATAGCTAAGGTAACTAACCTGATTTGAAGCCAAATCGACACCTTTCTCCTAGGTTTTTGTATATAAAGAGGAAGGATACTGAAGGGATAGCAATGTCCTCTTGGAACCTTTCAGGACACTGGGAGATACATTCACCAGACACCTCACCTGTCCATGGCAATGAAATAAGGAGGGAGGGAAAGAGAAGTGTGCCAATAGTGAATCAGGCGCTGGGTGGTTTCTGTGGGGATGGTGTGAGCCAGGGTGAGCTGCAGCAGCTCTGATCCATGTCATGGACAGAAGCATAAAAGCACACAAGTCTGAGGGATGCTGCTGCTATAAAAAACACCCAGGAAATCCACACCAGCACCAGGACAGGCTGCTTGCAGGTCTGTTTGTTTTTTAGCTGCACAGAAACACTGGAACTCATATAGGGCCTTGCAAGTGAATGTCATTTGAAGCTTCAAAACCTTCTACTATGTGAGTAACATGATGTGGTCTGCACCACACACAGTCATCCACAAATGCAGGGAGTTATGCTGCCAGAAAATATGCTTCTCTTTCTGCTGAGTAACACCTCGAAGATTTTCTCAATCTAGCACGCAAGATGCAAGAAGATCCCTTTTTCCCAGAAAGCATAAGTTACTGACAAGCACCAGAAAGCTCATTTCCTTCCTTGAGAACTTGTGTAAAAACACAGGAAAATATGAGAGAAGACGCCAGCCAAGCCCAGGAGAAAGTCAAAAATCTACCTGCTCAACCAGTTCTACGCTCCTTTGAGCTACACTGGGATTATAACTAAGCATCTTTGTCTTCTTGTGATATTTTTAGAACAGCTGTCAGTGAACGTGTCACTAGTAATAGAAGCAAAAATATCACAGAATCTTGCAGACAAGTCACAGAGACAGATGAAAAACTGCTGCTGGGAATACTCAGACCAGGTTCTTCAAACATCAGACAGCATGTAGAGAAAATGGTACATGTATATGGCCTGATTTGCTCCTCATTCACAAAATCAGGAGCACAGCATACAAATACATGAAATTACCCTAACAAAGAACTACAGGCTTAGGAATACTCCAAATTTAATTCAAACTAAATTAGCACCTAATCACCATGAAGGTGCCACTGTTATAGCTCAAGTCATAGGAAGAGCTAGTTTTCAGGCAAGTTTTCAGGATAGATGCAGTCCCCAGCTACATTAAAATCACACAGAGAAACATAATTCTAACAACACTAACACATGTATTACTACTACAGAGGGAAGGCTGAAGCCTCATGGCCAAAGAGTGCTGCACATCTCCAACACTAAGGATGCAACACCAGAGGAAGATGCCAGGTAGTGACATCCCTGTGGGTGTCATTTTCCTGGGCCAATCTCTGCCTGTATGCTCATTTATTTCTTCAATGAATTCAGCTCTATGAATTAGTTGTTTTCTTCACTGCATGCAGTTTGTTGCATCTTTCTGGTGATGGTTAACACACAATAGAGCATTATCTCCACCACAGACATTAACACAAATCCAGTATAAAAATGTCAGGGTTACTCACCTAAAGACACAACAGCCACGCTCTCTGGTAAAAAATGAAGCCGGTATTCTATCAGTAAATGCACCAATATGATGCAAATAGCTATGAAGGGAAATAAAATGTAGATTTAGAAGTGTTAGAATAAAATATACTTTTAAGTAATATTTCTAAAATACACACAGCAAAACTTCTCCTAAGATTTAGTAGACTTTGCTTTGGCAACAAACCAAAAAGCACCACAGTCTCAGCAGTAGCTCCCACCACCATAAATATTAAGGCAGCCTGGGATGCTCCTGAGCTGTTGGTCTCCATTCCTTGTGTGTGACTGCTCTGCTTGTGTCTGGCAGCACATCACCTGCTCCAGGCACCTGTCAGGGCTACAGTGACAGGCACGAGTGCTGTGCCAGGCTAAGGGACACCTGAGTGTCCCTCAGGGGAGAGCCCAGTAAACCAGAGCAGTGGGGAAGCCACGGATCACAGGAACATGGCACAGCAGGGATGTGACTCTGACAGTGCTGTCTGAACACACAAACAAGCCACAGAAACACGGGGCTGGAGATCAACTCGGGAGCTGCAGGCACTTTACATCTGGGGCTCGGCTTTGACACAGCACAGGACCAATCTGCTGCTGGGGCTGCTCCAGTTCAGAACATTTGTAAAGGCCACTTTCCAGAGCAGGGCCCACACATTCATTTTCACCTTCCAGCACTCTTAAATGACAGATTATGAATGGGAATAATGATGAACAAGAAGCTTTCATACTGGTTTTACTTGGTTCAGGGAACCCCCCTGCCCCCAGGGTGATGCTCTTAAGATCTGTTACCAGACTGGCATACAGGCTGGAATATAGCCCCCCAAAAAAATCACAGCTTGTTTGGTAAGTCCCAGGAATGTAATTTTACCATGAATGGCCCTTTTAAAATCCATGAGGAACACATATTCAGAAATTTTATTTTTATCTTAGAAGTCTTCTGATCTACTGCCTTTTGCTTGGGTCTTTCTTTTGCTCAAATCCAGTATGTCAGTGACCTCTGGGAACAGAGGAATCCTCTCTGAAGACACACAGGTACCTCAGAAGTAAGCAGAAGCTTTCTACTTTCTGCTGCACTTAATAGTAGTTAGGAGGCAATTTTTTTTTAAACCTTAAATGACTCCCAGAAGTTGCCACACTGCTGCCAACTCTACACCTTTCATTTCCTACTGGAAAAATCACCAGTCAGAACACTGGGTGACCCATCTGCCCCAGAGAAGTCTCTCAGTGCTCTGGAGGAACCAAGCACAAGCACAGAAAGGAAAACAGACAAACCTTTCACCCTCCCAAGAGTTCTGTTATTGGTACAGTTCTGGATCCAGCACTGCTCTAAGCAGAAGGTGAGACAACTACATTCTCTTGAAGAAAGACAACAGCCCAGACTTACAGAAAAGTCTGGTGAGCACCTGCCATCCAAAATGCCTCTACACTGACACTTACACCAACACTGCTCTCAGACCCTGCCAAGCACCACAGGCCACCCTGACAACGTCTGTTCCACACATGAACAGCGCCAGGTGCTTGATAAAGAAGGCAAAGGCAATTAAAACATGTTGTTTGCACTTTGAGACGTGGTGAGAAGATCTGCAACGGTCCCCAGCCTTCCACAGGCTTGGGAGGGTCAGGCAGTTACACACCAAACTTCCCAAACCCCTGTGCAGCACAGAGAGAACCAAACCACTGTGACTGTGAGCTGGCCTCTGTCCTCAGGCACAGAGCACGTTAACAGAGATTAACAGACTTTCAGATCATCATTCACCTATAACAAGAAGGCTAAAAAAAATCGTCATGCCACTGGACTGCTCCTCTTGCTGTGCCTGGACTCCAGTCTGGACTGGCAGGATGGGCTTGGGAGGTGTGGGCGCCACCAGCTTGGTCGTAGCAGCCAGCAGAGTGTGGAGGGTGGCATTGATGGCCTCGTGGGTGGCGTTTGCAGACCTGTCAGGATAATACAAGATGTGATCACGCTGGATGGGAGCAGCATGACAGAGCCTCAGCCTACTGCGGGCACGCACAGCCCGACCAGCCACCGGGTCACAGCCATCCTGTGCTGCTGAGCAATTCGCTGAAATTTACTGAAAGCAGTCTACGATCACAGACAAACACCGCAAGTTCAGGTTCACGGAGCTGATTGCCGCTGGGTTCCCTCTCGCCCTGCAGACACCGAGCCCTCGGCACCGCACCCCGGGAGCGGGGAGCGCTGACACAGAGCACGAACAGCCCGCAGTCACACCGCGGGGCCCGCGACCGCCGGCTCCTCCCGCCGCCCCTGGAGCTCTCGGCGCCGCTCCGAGCCCCTCCCCACAGCCCCGAGAGCGGCTGCGGAGGGAGAGCCCCCCCGGCCCGGCCGTGCCCGCAGCCCCGGCCCGCCCGGCCCCGCACTCACTCCGCCATCTTGCCGGCATCAACCTCCCGCCGCGCCCCGCGCGCCGCCGGCGCTCCGGCGGCCACTTCCGGCAAACTCTATGGTGGGTGCGGGACAGCCGCGGGAGCGCGAGCGCGGGCGGGGGGGGGGCAGTCACGTGACCGCGGGGCCAACCCCGTCACGCGCCGGGGACGTCACGGTTCCCGCGCCACGCGCGCGGGGGCGGCAGCGCGCGGGGCGCCCCCTGCCGGCTGGGGCGGAGACTGCAGCGGCACCTCCCCCGGGGCCGCCATCGCTGCCAGGGCTGCCCGTGCTACTTATCCATAACTCAGAGCTGCCAGGGCTGCCAGTGCTCCTCATCCCTCAGAGCTGCCAGGGCTGCCCGTGCTCTGTGTCCATAACCAGAGCTGCCAGGGCTGCCAGTGCTCCTCATCCCTCAGAGCTGCCACTGCTGCCAGTGCTCCTCATCCCTCAGAGCTGCCACGGCTGCCAGTGCTCCTCATCCCTCAGGGCTGCCACTGCTCCTTGTCCCTCATGGCTGCCATTGCTGCCACTGCTCCTTGTCCCTCAGGGCTGCCACTGCTCCTTGTCCCTCAGCCACTGCTGCCACTGCTCCTTGCCCCTCAGCCATCGCCACCAGGCACCACGTCCCCCAGAACTGCCACCCCCCAGTGCACCCCGTCCCTCATTCACCCTGCACCTCGTCCTCCTGCCGCTGTTGTCTACTGGCTCCTGCTTTCGGCCGCCACCGCCCAGCGGCATCTTGTCCCTCAGTGCCCCCTCCCAAGCTCACCAGTCAGCCCATGTGTTTAAGGGCAGGCTGAGGTCGGGGTGGCACGGGCTCATTTCAGAGGGTGTAATGCCTGCAAATGTGTGCTGAAGCTTCACGCCAACAACACACTGTGGTGCCTAAAAGCGGGGAATGGGTCCTGACTTTTTAAATTAGACCCGTTCACCTGCAGGTCCCCTCGCCCTTTCCCGCTGGCTGGGCAGACCTGGGGAAGGGCACAGCTGGTCCATGCACAGCTCTCACCACTCAGCCACACTGGGGCCTGGCCTTACAGCAGGGAGAAAGTGTCAAATGAGCCCAGGTACCACTGAGCTGAATCAGAAAGCCTCAAAACTTTCATAAAAATGCTTTTGAATGAAAATACCGGGGAGTAACTAATTAGCAATTTTGATCAGTGAATTAAAATAAAGCTTAGACCCGCTTTATCTGGTCTAAGTTCAAATGCCCTCCTGGCACAGGCTGCTGGGATGCTTTGGGTCTCTAAGCTCTCCTGTGCATCGGTTCTTACCTGGAAAATGAGGCTAATTAGCACCTTCCAGTTTAGGAAGCCAGTCGTGGGCATACATACATCCACTCTGTGCTGGTTTGAGGAGCTGGGATGACAGGGGCTATGGAAACACAGCGTAGAACAGCATCACATGCATTTCTGTTTCTCATTTGACTAGCTCAGGAAATAAATGGGGGGTTGTACAAACAGACATACTGGATTTGAATACCTTGGGTTGTTTTAAAGGCCCTCCAGAATATCAGCAATGAACTTCATGAAAATTAAATTTTAGACTTGTGGCAGAGACGCTGACACTCGTGATCCATTTACATTAAAGTGAAAGCCACTCGAAAGGGTGAGAACACGCCTGAGTTTTAAAAAGCTGTGATTTGAGCTGCAGCTGTTTTTTTCTCTTTGTGTCACTGTCAGGGCAGAGCTGGAGAGTGCCTGGTTTCCTGTCAACAGACTGAACCTACACCTCCTTTGCTCTCATCATCTGATCTGGTTTTGTTGTGACCTACTTAGACAGTCTTACTACAGTTATGACCAAGGGGTTTTTTCCACACTAGCTAATTTCCGACAATCTGCAGTTTGCTAATCCCCAGCTGCTTTAACTCGTTTTCTCCATCCCAGTAGTTTTTGGGACAGAGTGCATAGCTTCAGCTCATGGGAGGCACTCAGAGTTTACAGGCACCAGTGAAAAGTGAGGCTGCACTTTGCAAGGTGGTGCATGCTGCTTTCCAGAGTGATGTGCACATCTTCTTCCACAGGGAAACTGAGGGGCTGCAGGCCTCCAACACCACAGAAGCTCGGGCACTTCTGCTTTTTGATCTCGTTTTCACGATGTATTGGAGTGGAGATTATGAACAACACTTCATTCACAAATAGTAAAGCTTGATCCAGAACTTAAGCTGATGAAACACAGGAAATTTCCTTGTGAATACACGCTTCCTTTTTTCTGTAAAAATTAAAATTCAGAGTTTGCCAAGGATGTCTGGAAGTATTTGGTCACTAAAAGGTGAATCATCAGTGTTTCCCTTGAGAACATCTCTTGAAAGAAATCATACTTCTGCAAATTTGTGTCTTTTTAGCTCATAATAACTTTTGGCAATTTTCCTTGCTTTTCTGGGAAGCCCAGCGAAAAAGCAATAAGTTATATTGAATGGGATTGAGGGAGAGTGGGTGGGAATGTGGCAGAGAAGGATGGGGGGGCCTCGGCTCTCTGCAGCGTGGCTCGTGCTCTGGGTCACAGGACAGGAAGAAGCTGCCCAGCTGTGCAGCCCAGTCCTTGACTGGCCCTTATCCTGCCCTCACAGAAATCAGGAAAAAAAAAATTGTCGAAAGGCACCTCTGGAGAGCTCCAGTCCAACCTCTGCTCCCAGCAGGGCCAGCTTCAAAGTCAGAGGAGGTTGCTTGGGGTCTTGTCTGGAGGAATTTTGAAAATCTCTGAGGATGGAGTGTCTCCCCTCCATGGATGGAGCTGCTCTGGGAGACCTGTCCTCCTGCTGCACCACTCTCAGGGTGAAGAACTTTTCCCCTACTGAGCAGCTGGAAGCCCCCTTGTTGCACTTCACAGCTGGTGCCTCTTTTGTTGCACAGGTCTGGCAGGAGCCTGCTCCTCCTCCCTGTAGCCCCTCTCCTCCACACCTTATAGCTGTGGCCACACTGCTCTGAGTTAAAAGGAGTAGCTACATCTATTCTTGATTTCTTAAAATCTGCTCAGGCAGTGGTGGAAGAGCCATTGCAGCAGAGTTGGTCAGGGGAAAGGGCATGGCTGGAGTCTCCTGTGAACTTCACCTGTGGCCATGGGCTCCTGCCTTTATCACCAGAGCAATGTTCAGTTCTACACCAGCCTGATGCAGAGCAAGGAAAATCTTAAAACTCTCTTTCCTATTCACTCCAGTTGTGCTTGGCACGAGGAGCAGGTCATCTGGTGCAAGAATGAAGGCCAGAAATTGTACTGGTTTGCCTTCTCTTTACTTTTGTTTTGTTTTGGGGTTTTTTGGTTTTGGTTTTGGCCTTGGCCTCGACCTCATTTTTTGAGTTGTTTTTCTTCCTTAAATCTTTCAACTGGCACGATCAGGAAACTCCACACTTTTGTTCTACTGGCCTTGTAGCTGTCATGTGCTTTTAATCATGAGGGACGGATGCAGAAAAGGGATGACTGCAGATGCAGCTCTTCAGGATGTGAGCGATATTCTCCTCTCTGTGCCTGCTGGCCCTGGCCAAAGGGGAACCACAGATGGATTTTGGAAGTCATGGGAAGGGTTCAGGAAGGGATGTGGAAGGAAGGAGACTTGAGCCAGGAAAGTAGAGGCCTGGGAATGTAAAGAAACACAATCCCAGGACCAAACCTCACAAAAGCCAGGATCTGAAGAGAAAAAAAAAGAGAAAAGGTAGAAGGAGGACCAGGGTCCCAGGGAGCCCTGTTGGAGGGGGGAGCATCAGAAACACCAAGGGCTGCTGTGCCAAGCGAGTGTGTGAGAACAGGAAGCCACAGGAACCAGGGGGTGCAGCTGGTCAGCTGCTGTGCATTGTGTCCTTCCCAGAGCTGTCGTGCTGTCCCTCAGAGCAGCACACTGGGGAGGGGGGGAAGTAACCACAGGTGATATCAAATTATAATGTCTCAAACACTCTGTGCAAAGAGATGGTGATTTTCATGTCTCATCTCTGACTCATCAGCAGGAAATACTACTGCTTGTTTGACCTGTTGGTGCCAGTGAGAAGGGGCAAGTCCATCTTACTGCCACTGAGGTAACCACTGAGCCGAGCACTGCTCTGGTATCGCAGTGCAGACGGTTCTTCAAGGACTTGGTCACAACAGAAAGTAATCATTTCGGCAGGAGGCCGTTCAGGCTGCTTCTCACTTGTGGTTTTCTGATGCAGGGCTACTGAGCATCTGTTGATTAATGCATGCACTGAATGTTGCTTTTAATAGATCCCAGGAATTTCACAGTTGTTTAAGCTCATCTAAGATGATGTGGCTGAAGGTAACATAGTGTTTAGTTTTAATTCTTAAATTATACAGAGCAGCCTAAATAGATAGCTATGTAGAACACCGAGGGCAGGCACAGATGAGTAAGTGACCAGCTGTAACCTTGTGCTGGAAATGTAGGGGAAGGTGCTAATTTACAGCCCAGGACTTGGTTCCCGCTTAGGAGTGGAGGCTGTCAGCTCTAAAGAGCAAGGGCATGCCAGATTTTCTCCAGGGAGTTGGTTTAGCTGTTATGACAGTCTTTGGCCTTGGAGACATTTGGGTTTGCCTTTTAGGTTATCTACAAACACGGTGATCTCAGGCAGGTTGAAGTCACCCTTAAGTCAGTTCTGTCTGAAACACTGAGCTTCCTCCTGCAGCAGGGTGCAGTGAGACAGTGGGAGGAGGCTGCCAGATACGGGAAAGCTGGAAGTGCTTCACCTAGATTTACTGTAGAACTATCCTACAGGTATTTAAATACATATTAGTCACCTTCATAGCTCAGATTTGTAGTAAAAATAAAATATTTCCTGGGGCGTGGAGAGGGCTTCAGCTCTAAACTCACCTGAAGCCAGACCCTGGTTCTGGTATGGAATATGATACAGGCTGTAAAGTAAAGGGTTTCAAAGACAAAATCAGCACTATTAAGAACACCAAAATCAGCACTGGCCTTAAAATGGCAGTATCTATGACCTGCATATGAGGAGGAAATGCCTATGGCTGCAGTACCCAAGTGCCAATAGGGCAGTTATTGCTTACAAAAGATCTGCCTTTTGGGGGCTTCATCATCCCCCAGGATTGGTCCCTTCACAGCTTCTGAAGATCTTGGCAGGCTGGGATGTGAGTTCTGCATTGGCCTGAGAACAACCTC